TGAAGTGCAGATACAGAGAAAGTTAAAAAAACAGGCCTGGCCTCATGGCACAATTTGGACATAGGTTATGTTTATATTTCCTATCCTGTCCCTTCCCCCAACATGTTGAGTGAGTTTGTACCTCTATTCCTTCTTGTCATCAAATGCTTTCATGGTGTTCTCTGGCACTCCAGGGTTGAACCCATATTAATATTCTATTTTGCAAGTTTATCCTTGTAAGTTTATCCTCCTAAGGAAATGTACTCATATTATGTTCCCTTTCCTTGAGAACTAGGGTCATAAAACAATTGCAATAAAGTAACATAAGCCACATTCTTCTAAGTATTAATAGCATAACATTTATCATGGCTGTTCATAAATATGGCTAAGTATCAGAATCATGTGGAAGCCCTTTTAAATCTATAAATTTCAAGATTTCATATCTTAGAGATTTTTTTTTTCCAGATCTTGGACAGGTTCTGACAGTCAAAAATAATAAATACACAAACAAAAGCTTCTTGGATGATCCTAGTACCCAGCTAGATGTAGAATCTACTGACATAATACTGTTTTACAGTTGAGTATGTAATAGATATCTCCTTCACTATTAAATTTCTTGATGGCAGGATGGCAGGGACTATGTTTTTAAATTTTGCATCCTTTAGTAGAGTTCCTTGTGCATGTCACAGTAAGAGCGTAATGACAATTTGTAGAATCCAATTGAATAATGGCTGAAATTTCTTGCCAGTTATAGGCATATTGATGGACTTTCTTTCCTATGTAGTAACTAAAAATACTATCTTATGATTTTCATGCTGTTATAGATACTACAAATATTCTTATTTGAATTAGTAGTATATGAAGTAACTTCTCTCAAACATATAAAAACATTAGGCATAAAAGCATCAAATTTACAAAAACTAAAAGAAAATATAATTGACTTTTTGAGGGCTTTGGGAATTGGTGGTGATTTTTTAAGCTTAGAAAACTTGGATTAATAAAGACACATATGTACTCCTCATATTATTTCAGCTCATTTCCAGTGCCTTTGGGTAGACATTGCTAATAGATGAAGGCACTCTTTTTTATTAAAATGGGACTTCACTTTAGAATCCTTCTTAACCACGTATTTATACAACCAATAAGAAATTACGTGATAAGGTAGGTGAATTAAAAATGAGTTGTCTATCTTTGAAATAAAAGAAGAGGTAATCAAGTTTGATTTTAAGATGCCATTTCTTACTTTTTTAGGCCTTTCTTGTCTTCCATTTGAGTGATCTTTTTCTTCCCCTTTTTTCTTTTACTAATTTACAAGTTATATATTTCTACCTTTTAGTGGTATGTTAGTGGGAGATTATCTTGATACAATGATGTCTCCAAGTCCTTTACCAAAGGACTGGCCCAGACAGGCTCACAGACCAAAGTAAGATGCTGAGATCACAGTTTATTGAGTCAATTTAAAGGATACAGCAAGAATCAAGGGGAAAGGGGGAAAGTAGGCTAATAATGTACTTAGGAAAGGGTGCAATTAGTATAGGATTGAATTAACTGAAGCCTATTCTATAAAATGTTTATATGTCCTCTCTTCTGTTTTTCTATTTTAATTCTTCCTGCTAACATTGTTATTATAAGGACCAGAATTGCATATAAACAAAGAAGACTCGGCAGATGAGGGTGCCTAGAGCCAATTTATATTTTCTCTGCAAGAAAGACTCAGGGACTGGTCCGCCTGGCTATAATTGTGACTCACCACTGTTACCTGTTGAGCACCCATGGATTTTATCTGTCTTGAGCAGAGGATACATGGAGCCAAAATGGGGCCTCATGAATATTTGGTGCCTTGGGTGTTTCATGAATATTTGGTGCTTACCCAGTTCTTCCATATCTTCTTGTTTATGCACTCAGTACACATATACTCTACTTATCTTATATCTAACATATCTATGTATCTCTTAATTAATTTTTCCTTTCTTTCATTTTCTAGTCCCTGAATTGAATATTCTCAAATGATGTAGCAAATACACATGACAGGTGTCTTGAAATTTTTAACATGCATACATCATTTTACAATTTCCAAAATTAATAATAACTGTAGCCTCCTCTCAAAAAATGGAATTTAGAAACAGAGTATGTTCTACCCTGACTTCCTCTTCTTTCATGTTATAGCATCTTAATTTTCTTGGTTATAATACATTATTTATATGTCAATACTTAGTTTCTCCAAAATTTTATTCAGTTTCCTTGTTCAATATTTCTTCTTACATCTTGTTTCTTCCTTTCGGATTCAATTTCCTTCTTATCGAAGTACATCTGTCAGTCGTCGTTTTAGCCTACGTCTGTGAATGGTAAACTCTAGTGGTCTTTATCTGACAACTTTTCTCATCCTCATTTTGACAGTTTAGTTGAGAATAGAATTTCCCATAGCCCTTTAAAAATTGTATTTTAATCTTTCTTTTTACTAGTGGCAGTTCTATTGTCAATTTTATTTTTGTTTCCTCATAGGTAGACTATTGTTGTTGTTTGAGACAAGGTCTTACTCTGTCCCTCAGGCTGGTGTGCAGTGGCATGATCATGGCTCACTGTAGCCTTGATTTCCCAGACTCAAGTGATCCTCCCATTCAGCCTTCCAAGTAACTGGGATGACAGACATGGGCCACCAAGCCCAGCTAATTTTTTAAATTATTCATTTTGGAGACACCGTGTTGCTCAGGCTGGTCTTGAACTCCTGGGCTCAAGTAATACTCCTGCCTCAGCCTTCCAAAGTGTTGGATTACAGGCGTGAGGTACTATGCCCAGCCTGTAGCTGTGTTTTCTTTCTTGTTTTGCTCTTAGGAATTGTTTTTCTTGTTTTGGTGCTCTTTAATTTTAACTAGAAGTGTTCTGATATTGATTTCTTTTAAAACATGTATCCTGTTAAGGACTTACTGCATTCTGGTTCAAGTCTATCTTCATATCTCACACATTCTCTGCTATCTTCTCTTTGAATCAGGCCTACCCTCCATTTTCTTTCTTTTCTTTCTTTTTAGAGCTTCTATTAAATATGTGTTAGGTCTTGTTATTGTATTATAAGGATATAACTTCACTTTTATGCTCTCCATTTTTTAATCCTCAGTACAATTTCCTCAGATTTATTTTCCAATTTAATAATTATATCTTTCACTGTATCTAGTTCATCTATTTAACTCATCTGATGAGCTTTTTATTTTTAATAGAAAAAGCTCTATGACAGTAGGAAATTTGTGTATCTTATTCACTATTTTATCTCTAGTACCCAGAACACGGCTAGAACTCTGCAGATGTTCAATAAGTATCAAAATTATTAATAGATCAATAAATTCTTTTTTAAAAATATTTTTATTTTATCTTATCTTTTTCTTTCATTTGATTTTTATTTTCCTTTATGTTTTTAATCATTTTATGGATTTTTCTTTGATAGTCACTTCCAGTTTTGTTTTTTTTTTTAAATTTTTTGGTAGAGATAGGGTCTCACTATGTTGCCCAGGCTGGTCTCAACTCTAGGCCTCAAGCAATCCTCCTGCCTTGGACCCTCAAAGTGGTGGGATTGTAAGTGTGAGTCACTATTCCTAGTGGTCAGGTTGCTTTATTAACTCAAGTTCTTTGGGCACAGATTTTTCTATTTCTTGTGTCTTCTCATCTGCCTTTTGGTAGATTGTTTCTTTGTGTGGTGTGCAAATTTTATTGAGAGCTCACCTTTATTGAAGGCCATTTATTCTGTGGGATTCTTTTGTTTCCTGAGTTGTGCATATGTCCTCATCAAGGATTCTTATATTTGCTTCAATAGGGCCTGGCTGTTTCTCTGTTTTTAAGCTTAGGATTCTCTTTTCAAATGATAAGGTAAAACTGGATTTCCATTGGCAGAGGCTTTCAATATTCACAGGAACCATTACTCTCACCCCTACTCATCCTAGACTTCTAAGGCTTCAAAAAGTGAAAACCTCTTTAGGGTTCTAGTTTATGCAGGAATGTTAGCTCCAGATTCTCATAAGTGGCTTCAGGACCACATCTTTTAGTCCCAAATGGGGTTAAAACCTCAGCTCCTGGACCTTATTATTGTGGCTTTGAATTTCTTCTTCAGTTCTGGTATCTGAAGTCTTTGCTGTCTCTGTTTTAAACCCAGCTTTATATTTTAAAATACTTATACTCTATTCATTATTTCTATATATTTGAAGAAGGCAGGAGTCTCATGCCATGGGAAAAAAGGGAAAATGTGAAAAAGATGATTTGATTTCACAGGTTTTGCTAATGAATTTCATCCAACTTACACATGAGACTATCATTAAGAATCACCATATCATTTTATTATTCTTAGAGTTTTTTGCAATAGTCTTATGGATATTACCATTAAACCCAATTCAATAAATAATAATGTGCAAAATATTTCAGGATATACAGATTACTAAGATAGTCTCTGCATTCAAGAGGCAAACATTGTGTAGTACAGAGATTAAATTTCATAAATAATCACAATGCAGGAAGCCTAATTGCTATGGAGATGCATATAGCTCTTTAGAATAATACATCACATGTATTATCAAACAAATTACTAAAATTGTTAGAAGATTGAAAAAGGAATCAGAAGAAGGTATTTTCAAGTAATAGTAACAGGAAAAACTTCATGACAGTGGTACTAGTTGAAATGTGCCTTGAAGAATGACTAGGATTTCTGAAAATAAAAACTATGAGGGAGGGGTTGGAAGGGAGGTAGTGACTTTTCCAAGTAGGAAGAAAAGCATTAGCTTAGACAAGGAGCTAGGAGGGTGGAGGGCCTCCAATAAGGAACAAGTAACCAAATTTTCCAGGTTTGGATGTTAGAAAAGCAGTATTATTAGAAAGTAAAAATAAAGAAATGTAAAAAAACAATGGGGTATGGGGGTTGGTACAAGATGGGCATAAATTAAAGCTAATTTAATTAAAAAATTTTTACTGTCATATTTATCTAAAGAGAAAAGATAATGTTGGGTTAATTTTTAAGGATAAATTTAAAAACCAGGATCACTTACAGGGAGTTGGACAAGTTTCTTCTTCTCAATAACCTGATCCTCTGATTGGCTGGTTTTACAGTTTCCAGGAAGGTAAACTGAATCAGCATTTTGGTCTCTCAGGCATACAAGTACCATCTAGTGGCAAAGGAAGGCAACCACAAGAATGAAATTATACAGGAAACATTTGCTTGTTTATTTTGAATTTTGTTTATATTATGATTAATAACAGAAGGCCATGTTCTACTTCAATAAGGAAATAAAGTACCCTTTAATCAAACATTGCTTGCTTGGTTATTAGTTTAAAAGAATGTGAGATCAGATAAAAATGGATTATAAAGAGCTTATTAAATATGAAATGTTTGAAAATTTTACAAGAACTTAATATCAAATTATATTTTGGGAATGAAACATAAGGATCTACTTGAGTTTAAAGAGAGAGAGAGAGAAAAAGAAAGTCCATGTAAATGAGGAAGAGACAGAAATACTGAAGCTAACTATTTCTCTTTTTTTTGAGATGGAGTTTCACTCTTGTTGCCCAGGCTGGAGTGCAATGGCGCTATCTCCGCTCACCGCAACCTCCGCCTCCCAGTTTCAAGTAATTCTCCAGTCTCAGCCTCTGGAGTAGCTGGGATTACAGGCATGCGCCACCACACCCAGGTAATTTTGTATTTTTGGTAGAGACGGGGTTTCCCCATGTTGGTCAGGCTGGTCTCGACCTCCTGACCTCAGGTGATCCACCCTCTTCGGCCTTCCAAAGTGCTGGGATTACAGGCATGAGCCACCGCGCCTGGCGAAGGTAACTATTCTTTTGCAATTTTCTCTGCTTTCACTTTGCCTAACTCCTGCTTAGCCTTCAAATCTTTAGATATGTCTTCCTCTAAACAATGTTCCTTGACACCCCAGCTCTGTATTACATGAATGACTAATATCCTTCTATGGACCACTATTCCCATGATGCTACTGACCACACTTCTTTGTCACTTCCCATTTTATAGCCCTCATTACAATCGATGATCCTAAATAGCTGATGCCATGTCTGTTTCATCCACTGTTCTATCCCAAAGGCTTAGGATAGTACCTCACACATCATAGGTAATTCACAAATATTTACAGAATGAATGGACAGATTAATGAAGAAAGAGAATAACTGTGATGAAAATGTTCAAGGTACAAATATCGAAAGCTAGTATCAGTAAAGTTTAAATAAGAAAACAAAAAGTTTTCAGAAAATTATTAGTTGAAAAAACTTTTTTCTTGTACATTGATTCCCTACAGGACATCCATTTATTTATAATTTCTGGTACTTTATAGTTTTCAGAGTACTTCTCTTTATCCTGGTGAAGAAAAAATAATAGTTCACAGCTCACGTATCATTACAGAGATCAAATAAAAGGTTACACATAAAGCATAGAGAAGAATACGCAGCACATATTATATGCTCAACAGTTGGATTTGATTATTTCCTATACCTCATCTCATAAATTCCTTGAAGCAGCACAGAGTCAAAGAAGGAAGCTATTTTAGATTTCTGTTTTACAAATTAGGAAACTAGTGATTATGGAAACTAACCATGAGGGATATGATCATGGAGTCACATCAGTTACTAAGTTTCTAAATCCACTACATCTAAGTAATAGTTTATTGTCCCTTCTATGGCATCATGTTGCTTGCTTAGAGAGACAGGAGAGAAGAAAGGACATGTGGATGCTAAATAAGCACAGCATTGCAATGCAGAGAAGGAAAATAAATTATAAAAAGTGTACTAGCTTCTCTCTTGCTTCCCTAACAAATTGCCACAGTCTTTAGTGATTTAAAACAACACAAATGTATTATTACAGTTCTGTAAGTTAGAAGTCCAACACAGGCGGGGCACAGTGGCTCATGCCTGTAATCCCAGAACTTTGGGAGGCTGATGCAGGAGAATGGCTTGAACCCAGGCATTCAACACCAGCCTGGACAACACAGTAAGACCCCCAGCTCTACAGAAAATTTAAAAATTAGCTGGGTGGGTGGCATGCACCTATAGTCCCAGCTACTCAGGATGCTGATGCAGGAGAATCGCTTGAACCCAGAAAATTGGGGCTGCAGTGAGCTATGATTTCCTCACTGCACTCCAGCCTAGGTGACAGAGTGAGAACCTGTCTCAAAAACAAACAAACAAACAAACAAACAAACAGAAGTCCAACACACAGATCTCTCTGCGATAAGATCAAGATGTTCCCAGGGCTCTCTGTTCCTTCCTGGAGGTTCTAGGGGATAATCTGTTTCCCGGCCTTTTCCAACTTCTAGAGGCCATCCACATCCCTTCCTCCATCTTCACTGCCAACAGTGATGGATTGAGTGCTCCCATCACATAACTCCAGTCTCCTCTTCTGCCTCTCTTTTCTACTTTTAAGAACCTTTGTGATTATATTGCATCCAATGAGATAATCAAGGAAAATCTCCCTATTTTAAGATCAGCTAATTAGCAACCTTAATTCCATCTCCAATCTTAAATCCATTTCTCCACATAAATATTCACAGGTTCCAGGGATTAGGACGAGCGGGGGTGGGGGTCATTATTCTGTCTATTCCAGGGGAATAGTGGCAAGGGGATGAAAGGGAGGAGGAAGGTAGGGCAGTATTTTCAAATGGAAGTGTTAGAAGTGTAACTTCAGGCTATCCTCACATTGATCTTGGCAGACACTGGATGATTTTCACATGGCTAAGCTAGAACCCATCCCACTTTGTACTTGTACTATTGTATTTTTCAACTTGAATGTAGAAATTTTCATATATTTCTGTTAAATTTTGTCTTTCAGGTTTTAGTTCACAGTTCAAATTGTTAAAATAATTTTGTTTCCTGGTTCTGTCTTCAGTCATATCTTCTATGCTATGTAGTTTTTGTTTTACCTGTTGATTTGACCAGAATGATTTCCTCACCTACGTAATTTATGAAAAATATGAACAAAAATCGGGGTAGAGTTATCCAACTAATTTTGATTTTACCTAATCATAATTAAATCAGACCCCTATTTTAGGCTTATCCACAAAGATATGAAAGTTTGGATTAAATGCTTTCCTGAAATTAATTTATATCATGGCTATAAAATTCCATCTTCTCTCAAATATCAAATAAAGAAGTGTGGTGTGATTTTTCTTAGTCAGTCTGGTTCCAAGTGACTACCAAATTCTAATACATTAAACTATGGACTCTGGAATTTTACTTTTCTGTTCTACAGTTTTCAGTGTCTACCTTTTTACCATTTTTTAAGCAAGTGATCTATCATGTTTTTCATTTTTTACAGTTTTTCAGAACTCATCAGCAACGGATCTTAGGTTTCTTGTAAACAGCTGTGGGATGTAATTTGTCCCTGGAAACATGAACTTATTTGAAACAGATAGGTGTTTTCTTATTACCTTCTCACCTACCTCAAGTTTCAGTTCTCTTTGTATGTTGTTTCACCTTTACCAATGTAAAGTCCATTTTCTTTACTGAAAAGGGAAATAAAAGAAAAATTGAGTCAAGTTTCTCTTTAATGTTTACATTATTCTCTTAGGTAAATTACAAACTTTGTGTTTATAAAAATTTATGAAGGTTTATTTCTTTCTGCCCTCTATTATAATTCTTCACTCTAATTAAACCAGTCTTTCCATTTTTCCCTCCTGAAGTTACCAGGTAACTCTAGTTCTCAATGATTTCTCTATAGCATTTTATAATTTGCACCACATAATTTAACAGTGGAAGAAATATTATCTTCCTTGTTTAATGCTTTTATAGTTTTTTTTAAAAAAAACTCTCAGAACAGTTGTTCATTTCTTTACCTTTTTTCACTTGATTAACCTAGAAAGTTGGGAGATTTTACCAAACAAGAATACTGGACACTGAATAAATACTTGTTGGTTAGTTAAGTTTTAAATATCAAATTTGGCTATACATTCTTCATATATCAGTCTCTGACTAATTTTTCTGTTTGGAGAAACAAAAAGAGTAAAATACTTAAAATTCTTTTTGTTGTAATAAAAACAATAGTAATAATAATAATATTAGTAGTAATAATAAAAATCAAACTAAAACTACCTTTAGAAGTCATTCTCTTCTCCAACCCCTCCCCTGTAACCCTCCAACAATTATCAATTAATCATATTACTGAGCTATTTAGTAACAATTTCAGCCACATTTGATATGTTAGTTTGGAACTCTATTTATTGGTAAAGCTGCTTGATTCCCTGCCTACTTTGTCAACCAAGCCTAAATTTCTTTATCTGTTTTAACTCGTTCTAGACAAACATACCAATCTGAAATACCAAATACTGAATCTAAACTCTGAATATACGAACCACATCATTTCCCTTGAAACCTTTTTTTATCCTTGTAGAAATGTTAAATGTTTAAAAACAAATAATAAGTGTTTAATAATCATAGATTTTTTAAAAAGTCATGTAATTTTCAATGTATTATAATCATGCAAATTAATGTACTAAGTTGACAGTAAAAAAGCTGTAACAATTTAACAATTTTGCTCTTAATTTTGGCAAAAATAGCATAAAGACTCCATTAAATAAGGCTTTGATGTCTAGCAAATTCAAAAGTAGCACAAATAGAATTCACTGTTCACCAGCAGGAGGAGGGTAGGTTGTAGGTTCGTATCTAGGGTAGCAAGTCTTATTCTCTTACTCTACATTAAATTCTGTCAAAATTCTGGTTCACCGTTATTTTTGCACAGCTAGGCAACTTGTTAAATCTCAATCTACAACTCCCATGATTGATGTATTCCCATCTGATTTATTTGTCTAAGAAACGTATTAATGAGATTTGGGGATTAGGGTTGCCACCATGGCAACCCATCAGTATGGCTTGTTCTCTTTCCTAGATACGGAAGCTCAGAAAGGAACATCTTCCCTGAAGCTGCTTACTTAGTACTGGGACCTGGTAACTATGGAAATTTAGATTGAGATCATATGGCTACATTGTTTACAAGGTACAAATAGTTTGATAAATAACCTGTTCAAACAGACAGTAAAATACGTCAGGGTCCATACATCAATTTGTAGCAATTTTTTAAATTAATAGGTCTTATTTAGTTTCTCTGTCTTAAATTATTCTTACAACTGCATTACATTTGTATTAGTCTGTTCTCACACAGCTATCAGGACATACCCAAGACTAGGTAATTTATAAAGAAAAGAGGTTTAATTGACTCACACTTTCACATGGTGACGGAAGCCTCAGGAAACTTATAATCATGGTGGAAGGCACCTCTTCACAGGGCAGCAGGAGAGAGAATGACTGCTGAGTGAAGGGGGAAGCCCCTTATAAAACCATCAGATTCTGTGAGAACTCACCCACTATCATGAGAACAGCATGGGGAAAACTGTCCCCAGGATTAAATTGTCTCCACCTGGTCACCTTTGACATGTGGGAAATATTACAATTCAAGGTGAGATTTGGTTGGGGACACAGAGCCAAACAATATCACCATCATAATTTTGTCATTCATCCTATAAGGGGAATTTGATATCTTCCCTTTTATGAGTAGGTAGACTTTGTTGAGTGGGTGGTGACATTTTGTAGGGGAAATGAAAATATTTGCATATTCTTGCTTATTACATATGTTTTCTCATTGGTAGCATTAATCATATTTACTGTTTACTATGATGCATAGGACTTGGAAATTTAAATTGGTATAAGAAGCAGCTTTCGGCTGGGTGCTGTGGCTCAGGCCCGTAATCCCAGTACTTTTGGAGGCCAAGGACAGAGAATCACTTGAGCCCAGGAGCTTGATACCAGCCTGGGCAACATGGCAAAACCCTATCTCTACAACAAAATAGAAAAACTAGTCTGTGTGGTGGCATGCACCTGTAGTTCCGGCTACTTAGGAGGCGGAGGTGGAAGGATCGCTTGAGCCTGGGAGGTAGACGTTGCAGTGAGCTGCAATCACAGCACTGCACTCCAGGCTGGGTGACAGAGCCAAAAAAAAAAAAAAAAAGAAAGAAAAGAAAAAGACAAGACAAGAAAAAGTTCTTAACCTCAGACTATTTACAATTTAATTGAAGAGATGGTACATAAACAAAATTATGTGAACAAGATGGTAGTATGTATGCAGTTGGGAGGAGAGTGAGATCATTTTGTCCGGGGTGATGAGATTTTTAGAGAATTGGGTTTTGGTCATGTTGTTTTGAAGCAAGAGTAAAAGCATAAGCAGACAGAATGAATGACAGAGAACATTACAAGGATAAGAAATGTAAGAAACAAATGCCTAGAATAGTCGTAGAAATGAGTAGACTTCTGAAGTTAAGGCAGATTAAGGGTACTAGTGAGAAGTGTTGGGGTGAAAGTATGGTTCAGTAACATTTTAACCAAGTTTATCTTTCTTTACTTGGCCCCAAATCCTAGGCCATTGAGAATTTGTAACTAAAACGTTCTAGATGTTCCAAAAAGGGACAGAATATATCATGAATAGTTTTCATTACATGGCTTCTTTAGTTTCCTAGTGTAGTTTCTTGAACATTCTTATCTCCCTTTCTCCCACCCCCACTGCTAGACTTTTTAATCCAGGGGTCCTCATTCCCCAGGCCAGGGACTGCTTCTGGGATCTGTGGCCTGTGAGGAACCAAGCAGCACAGCAGGAGGTGAGTGGAGGGCAAGTGAGTGAAGCTTTATCTGTATTTACAGCTGCCCCCCATGGCTGGTATTAGGGCCTGAACTCCGTCTCCTGTCAGATCAGCAGTGGCATTAGATTGTCATAGGAGTGAGAACCCTATTGTGAACTGCACGTGAGGGATCTAGGTTGTGTGCTCCTTAGGAGAATCTAATGCCCGATGATCTGTCACTGTCTCCCATCAGCCCCAGATGAGACTGCCTAGTTGCAAGAAAACAAGCTCACAGCTCCCACTGATTCTACATTACGGTGAGTTGTATAATTATTTCATTATATATTACAAGGTAGTAATAGTAGCAATAAAGTGCACAGTAAACATAATGTGCTTGAATCATCCCCAAACCATCCTCCCTCCCCCGGAAAAAACTGTCTTCCATGAAACTGGTCCCTGGTGCTGAAAAGGTTGGGGACCGCTGTTTTAGCCATCAAAGATTCTGACGAACCTCTTTGAATTTTCTATTTAATTCATATTCCATAAGTAACACTTGATTCCTTGTTTTTCCCCCCCCCCCTAAGAATTTAGAAAGCAGAATGTATGTTGGGGAGATCTGGTTTAAATTCGAGAAGCAGAGAAAACAAAGAGAAGTAAAAAAAAAAAAAAAATACGTGATGTACACAGGATTGACAGAATAAAAAAAAAAAGTCTTTCTGCAAGGGAATGTGACTATACAGAAATCTGGAGAGGAAAATACGTAATGTCAGTGTTAATAACTTTTGACCCCATTTAGGTCACTTTGAGTAACGAAACTCAAAACACTAGATATTTTTAGCAAAGTAAGTGCAGTATCCAGTCTCTCACAGATGCCATGTGTCTCAGGCCATTTGGCAAATTCAGCATCTGCCGCATTCCCAGACTTTGATGAGGACACTCCGCGAACTACAGGCACCCTCAATAGGAGGACGTCCCAGGTCGGGGTGTGAGGGCGAATGAGGAGGCTGGGGAGGGGAGGCAAGAGTTAGGGAAACGGGGCCACACAACTCCAGATGCTGCGGGGGAGGAAGAGGGGCTGCGGAGGACTCAAAACGCGCTCAGAGAGGCCCATCCAAATGCCAGGAGACAGAGCGCAAGGATGCTTAAGAGGAGACGTGACTGGGCGAGGCAGATGAGGAGAGGGCAGTGGGCCAAGGTCACCCGCTAAGAGGCGGCAGGTTTACCACTGAGACCCGAGCCCATGGTTTCTGCCCGCGCCTCTAGAAAGAGCGTGGCGAAATCCCCGCAGATCCCAGGCGTGGAAGGCCCTGGGGAACAGCCCCGAGGCCCGACTCTTGTGGCTCAGGGGCCCTGGGCAGCCGCGCGCCCCCGCTCACCAACGCTCGCCCCACCCTCAGGCGCGCTCCTCTTCCGGGCGCGATGCTTGCCTGCGTGCGCCGGGACGCGCAGGGCCGAGCGTCTGAGACGCGCCCGTACGAGGAGCGCCGTTTTCTAGGAGCCCCGCCCTCAGGTGCGCTCTGCAGGAGGCGGGGCGCGACTTCCGCGCCGCGAGCTTCCCTAGCTGGCCGGCGCGCTGCCTGCTCTGCCTGCGCCAGGAGCGCGCGGGTGCGCGCGGCCGCGCCCTCGCACAGATCCCAGTTGGGTCACCCGCGCTGAGTCAACAGACTGAGCGCGTCCAGGCCTGACAGCGCTGCGGATCCGGCCCTGAGGTGAGGAGGGCGTCGCGGGCGTCGGCGCTTGAGGCAAGCCTGGGACAGCCGTCCCTTGGGGAGTTGTGGGGTCGAGGAGGGGCTGGCCAGCGAGGGGCGGCGGGGAGGGAAGGGGAGTTCGGCGTCTGAGGTGTGGGGTGAAGCGGGCTCGGAAGCGGGCAGAGGCGGCGAGCTGAGGGAAACGGACCTCTCTCGGCTCCCGAGAAGCGCGGGTTGCCAACCTCGGGGATGCGGTGGGAGCGCCCAGGATTCGGACGTGAGGGGTCGGGGCCCTGGGGCGGGGGGCTCCGCGAGGCTCACCCGGGACCGGGTCCGGCCGTGGGACATCGGGACACTGCCTTTGCCTGGACGCTGTCGTTCCACCCTCAGCGGCGTCAGGGAGAGAAGGAAAACAAATATTGATGTAAATTTCCTTCTGAACAGCTGGGTAATGAGCGCTTGCTCTTCCCCGCGAGGTTACGCGCGGATCATTACCTTGTGTGTTAAAAGGAGTTTCAGTGAGAAGAAAATGCGCAGATCTCATGACACAGTTTGGGAGGGAAGTTCCCTGATCCTAAAACACAAATAGGAGCTCCAGGCGTGGAAATAGGAGCTCCAGGCATGGAAATACTTAATTGGATCGGAAAGCTGGGCAGGCTGGAGCTATTAAGCTGAAGGAGGGTTTCCCCTGGGCTCCTTAGGCTTTGATTTACGTTTTAGATAAATAAGTCCGAAAATAATGAAGATAATAACCACGTTTACTTTCTACGAGGGCGTTCTGAAGGAATCTAAGGGAAGAACAGTATTTTCTGGACTACAGCTTTGAGCCAGGCTGGGTGTTAGCTCTTTTAATTCTGACAGCATCTCTGTAGGGTTGGAGGGGGTTATTCTAATTGGGCAGATGTGGAGAATGGGCCTCAAAGAGGGTAAGCCACTTATTAAGGTCTCAACTAGTAAAGGATGGAGTTGGGATGCCAGACTCTAATTCTGGTGCTTTATCCACTATATTTTGTGTTTGCCCGAAGAGCAATATTATATGTGTTTTAGGGAAGACTCCATAGGAGGGAACATTATTAGGGCAGTTAGGGCTTTGTGGGTATTTGTGTTAAAATCCAACTAAAGAGGTGTTAATCTTTGAATATGCCCTGTTTGAGTATATTTCCTTTCAAACAGATTTAGTGTAAGGAAATCTTACATTCACTATAAGAGCAAATTTATTAGTACGTTCCATGTTTATTGCATGTCTTTTATTTTTAAAGAGACAGGGTCTTGGGCTGGAGTGCCGTGGTGCGATCAAAGTTCACTGCAGCCCTGAACATCTGGGCTCAAGGGATCCTGCTGAATAACTGGGGCTATAGGCGTGTGTCATGTGCCCAGCTAATTTTTTACTTGTTTTTCAGAGATGAAGTCTTGCTATATTGCCCAGGCTGGTTTGTTGCATGTCTTTTACATTCCAGATACTATATTATGTGCCAAGAGTACCGTACTGATATGAATATAATTTATAATCTCTGTCCTTGAGTTTAGTTGAGAAGGTGATTGTATAAAAGAATTTTATGATACCGTACTAAGTCATAACTTTTCTAGTATGTAAATTAGTTGGATTAAAAATAGTTTTAAGGGCAAGCTTTTAGGAACCTATTATGTATAAGAAAATTTATTGGATGACTTGTCCTCTGTGTACCATTGCATTGTTATTTTCTCCTTTAGCAAGAAACACTGTCATAAAATTTTGGTTAAATTATGTTGACAACTAGCATTTTTTTTTTTTTTTTTTTTGAGACAGGGTCTCATTCTGTCACCCAGGATGAAGTGCAGTGGCAGGATCTTGGCTCACTGCAGCCTCAACTTCCCAGGTTCAAGTGATCCTCCCATCTCAGCCTCCTGAGTAGCTGGGACCGCGGTTCTGTGCCCCTACACCTGGCTTTTTTTTTTTTTTTTTTTCGTAGAGACAGTGTTTCTCTATGTTGCCAAGGTAGATCTTGAACTCTTGGGCTCAGGCCATCCTCCCACTGGGATTGCCACGTGAGCCACTGCACCTGACTGCATTTTGTTTTATTATTGCACCACCTTTCAGTAAATTTTAAAGCGATAGAGAAGATGAGAGCATTTATAATTTATCCCTTTTTAAGTTAAAAGGCATATTTTATAGTGCTTTTGTTTTATTGATTGAGAAGCAAATGATGTAGCTAGGCAGGCGTTTATTTCATGTGCTGGATATGTTTCTAATTTCTCATTCCAAAAAAATCTTAGTTTTAAAGTATAGCTAATACCAGATGGCATTTAAGTTCTTGTGGCTCAGAGTTGTAATGAAATCAGTCTTCCAGTTTAAGCTGAAATGCCACATTGTTGAAATGTATAATATTACTTTGTGGTGATTTTTGGAAATCTCTTTTAATTGCTTCAGTTTTCTCAGTAAAGTAGGATTCAAGGTCATAATCTGAGGGTGTTCCTACAGGTGGAAGCTTTGGAGATTTGGGGACTGAGAGAGTGATGGACTAGTGAAATATATGATTGCTAGGAAATTAAACATGACCCGTAGGTGTGAAAACTACAGTAGAGGACAGATATGAGTGCACAAATTAGAGTGTCTAATTTTGGATATCAGAAACTTCATAATCCATTCCCAATGCCTGCCTTTACCGTGTTATCTAGAACATACATTCGCATCCCTTGCTCCAGTTCACTTTGCCTTATGCCTCTGCCATATGGCAGGTATCCCTGTTCTTCACAAAAGGCAAGTCCTTTTGTTTGGGAGTCTAGCTTTACCCTTCTTTTCTTTCTGCCTGGACATTCCATTCCACTCCTTTCCAAGCTCTTTCTCTCTTATCACATTACATTAAATTTTATCTCTCTGCAATGTTAGTGACAGTGTCTAACTTTATTTTTTTTTGCCTCGTAATGTTGGATGCATAAATCCTTCGGTAAATGTTAAGTGAATATGCCACTTTTCTCACTTCCCCCCTTCTTCCTTTCTGCAGGAGTTGGCCAACTCTTTTTGTAAAGTGCCACATAGTAAATATTTTAGGTTTGCAGACAGTATGGTCTCTGTCTCAGTAACTTTACTGTTGTAGCACAAAAGCAGTCATAGATAATACATAAATGAATGAGCATGGCTGTATTCCAATAACACTGTATTTATAGACATTGAAATTTGAATTTCACATAATTTTTGCATGTCACAAGATATTATTCTTTTTTTTTCAACCATTTAAAAATGTAGAAACAGTGTTCCTCCTGGGCTGTGCCGAACAGACTGAGGATTGGATTTAGCCCCCACCTCTTTCATCATAGTTTGCACATCCTTGATCTTTAAGGACTCTCAGGAAGCCTTAATAAAGGAATCTGTGGTAAGATGATCCTGGTTATGATATTTCCATTGGTGGTAGAGAAGCAAAGATAAATAAGACAGTGTTGTTTTTTTCATCGAGGAGCTCATGGTCAAGTTCAAGATGAAAATATGTACATAAATAATGGTGACAGGGTATAGTTACTGCAGTTATATTTACTGGGTATAGAGGTAAAACAAAGGAGTGATAATCAGCTCCATGTCAATTTAATAATGACATTTAGGCAATGTGATTAAAAATTGAGCTTAGTTGAGCACAAAATTTGAGGATGGTCACACAGGAGGACACAGACTCCTAAAGGATGGGGTAAATGCTCCAAAGTGGAGAGATTTGAGGGTCCTTTATATAGGCAAGACCTGGGGATGCTTAACAGGATTACATCATTTTTCATACAAGGTTAGTGCATAGTTAGAGCAATTCAATTAGTTATAGGCAGTGTTTCTGTTTTGGGGAAGGGTATATTTAACATTTCACATTAAGGATGTAATGGTCAAAGGGTCTTTTATCACAGTCAAGGGGTCTTTTATCCCTGGCACCATCTTGTCTGAGCTAGAAACAAGAAAATAAGGAAGGAATTTCATATATAACAAAAGGTCAGTAATTAAGAGGTGAAGCTTCATGACCCAGTCTCTAAAGTCAACCTTCCTCAGTGCCAAACGATGTTTAGAACCCCCACGTAGACAGACTATCCATTTTCTGTTACATCTGCTTAGGTGGATGTGAAGTAACCTCTAACAGTCATTTGTTGGAGGTAGGGAATATATTTTCAGCTAGCCTTTCTGGAAATCTTTTAAGGATACTATGAAGGTGACTGACTACGTTTCTTATCAGGATGGCTCTAAACATCAGGATGACTCAACTTATTTATTTTATAGGGTATAATCTTAATTCATTTCTCACAGAAATAAACATGGATATGTTTTAAAATTATGTCTCTATGAAAATAATTTAAAACTTTTAAAGTTATTTTACCTGCTACATAATAAATGGATTGTTTATTCCACAGATATTTAGTACCTCCTCTGCTGTGCAGTGAGTTGTTTTGCTAACTAAAAATATTTGGAGATAATGGTATCATTAGATAAGTGATGGATTTTCCGGGGGAGTCAGGGGAAGAGAGAGGAAAGCACTGCTTTTAACAAAGGCAGTAAGTATAATAGTAGGACTACCTTAAAATTTTAAGTAATTTTAAAAAATACTTTATAGCTTTCAAATTTCTTATTTTAATAAACTCATGCATCCTAAATAATTTTTCTCTAACAATTATTTCTAAAGGTTATATACATTTTTATTACTTTTAGTGATGTGAAATATGTTCCATAGGACTTAGAATGTAGTAACCCAGTACTTTTTTTTTTTTTTTTTTTGAGACGGAGTCTCGCTCTGTTGCCAGGCTGGAGTGCAGTGGCATGATGTCTTTTGCTTCCTGGGTTTGAGCGATTCGTCTGCCTCAGCCTCCTGAGTAGCTGGCATTACAGGTGCCCGCCACCCCACCCAGCTAATTTTTGTATTTTTAGTAGAGACAGGGTTTCACCATGTTGGCCAGGATGGTCTTGATCTCCTGACCTCGTGATCCTCCCACTTCAGCCTCCCAAAGTGCTGGGATTACAGGCGTGAGCCACTATGCCTGGCCATAGTAACCAGTAGTTTTAAGATAAATTAAGAAGTGAATTTTTGATATTGAAATTTGGATTTTGCAACTCCTGGTCTTTAAGTCAATTAATACATTAGAAGAGGAAGATGGGCTTTAGTGGGCTTTCAATTTTCTTGCAATTTATTGGATTTAGTATAAATTATTTTATATAGGAAATTATTTATCTAGGAAAGTTAAATTTGATTAAATCTTTAGAAATATTAGGTGTTTAAAACTCACCTAATTATTATTTAAAGCCCTACAACAAACTTAGCACATTCTCAGGTATGCTGTGGAACTATGGAAAATAACTTTTTTTTTTTTAATTTTGAACCCTTATTTCTCTTTGTGCCATTGTTCTTTAATAGCTAAGCACTGCTTTTGTTAAAGAGTTTTTAAAGTATTTCATTGGTACGATTTTGAGTTGGAACCATATAAATTCTGCTTTGGTCTTGTGTTAACTCAGGTGCTAGTGAGTGCACTCCTAGATATTGTCTGTAGGATTGTTCCCATTTAGAGGCAATTAAACTTGAACAGTTAAACTTGAGGCACGCCAAGCATCTTTTTACTGCCTTTTTCTTTTATTCTTGCAAAACCATCACATAAAGCTATAAAATTTTGGAATTTTAGTATAGAAAGAGGAAATGTATAGCTCCATGCTAAATATGGGGTTTCTTGTATCCCAAGAAAAGGCACCTGATAAGTCAGACCCTTCCTAAGGTCCCCTTTTTGGTCATGCCTCATTTGTAACTTTGCAGCCCTGTTTTCAGATATACGCTTCTGTCAGGAACACCACTTTCATGTCACCTCTGCTGTGTGGATCTCCACCTTTCTTTCTGGAAACCTCATTCTTTCATCCACAAGAGTTGCTCCCATCTCAAGGTATTAACCCTTTATTTTTGGGTGTTTGTCGCTATAGAAGAGTACTGCCTTCCGACATGCTTCCTTCATCCCAGTTTTCCTACCCTAACTCCCTGTTAGGCTAGTCAGTATTGTCCTTTGGGATTCCAGACCCTGCAAAACAGTGGAGGATGGGGTGAAGAGAAGGGCCTTTGTGATGACCATATCAGTGAGGGTTGTAGTCACCCCTTTTTTAAATTCTATCTTGTTTCTCTTTCTTCTTCCCAAAGGACAGGTATTAATTCTCAGAGACGTTGTGGTCTCGACACTTGAAAAGGAAGCCAGATATTTTCCCCAGCATCTCGTCATTTGCAAAGAATTTATAGGGTAGAGTTAGTGTTTACATTATTATACAGACCAGTGCTTACTATTTATTCCCCATATCCCTTTTCAAATTGGGCCTGCTTAGACACTGTGGACTCAGGGGTTGGAAGATGCAGCAGGCAAAGAGGAGGGTGAATAGGTACATTATTGGGTCAGTTTACAAAGACCTGACTATAGCTTTGAAGTTTCTGTTTTAGATCAACAATAAAGTTTAATTATGCAGAATTAATGTTAAGAATGTTTCATTCTTTTCAATCAAACAGCTAAACCATGTATTTCATACTGTGAAGAAAACCAGCAATCAGATGGGTTTGGAAGGATTTTTGTTTGTTTGTTTCAATAACTTGAATTGAAGCTCAAGATTATTGAAATTTAATATTTTCATATGATTAGACTAAAGCTTTTGAGTATAAGAAAAATCAGGTTGTTGAGGTCAGTCATAATACTGAGTCATTGGTATAATTTGATGGCAGAGTTTATATTTTCATCATTTTTTTCTCTTTGTCATTTTACAGTTCATTCTGTAGGATTTCTTTGACTCGGTCTTCAATTTAGCTCTCTAATTTATCTTTAAATGAAGTTCATCCCATCTTTT